GAAGGAGAAGGAGAAGAAGAAGAAGAGACAAGCAAAGAACTAAATAAACAAAAACAATGTAAGAGCTGTGTGTTCCATTACCCAAACCTATTATGAGCACCAGTCTAGCAGTAACAAGAAGTTGTCCTTTTGTCTGTAAGTCAAGCCATTGAAGTAAGATTTGTACAGTGAGTCTAGATTTCTTCTAGGCATAAGATACACAACTTTTTCTAATCCCAAACAAAAACAAAAACTGAAACGGAACTCAAAGACCCTCATGCTGAAGCCCCCCTAATCCTGCTCCGGCGCCCGATGCTGGTAAAGCTCCATGCTGCAGACCTGCATCTTGTTTCCTGTTAGGTCCTCAGGTCTAAAAATATCTATGGAATGAATGACTAAATCAGGACCCTGATGGTTTGGTCTGTCACCAATTATGTGATCTTGATAAATTTTCTATTGTCAAATTCTCAATTTCTCCATTATCGAACATTTTAGCCAAACCCTGCAAATCACTCAGAGGAATGTCATAAATGTTAATCCCAAGATAAGGGAATTCTGGGACGTATCTTGGAGCACCTCTGGCACTATGTTCAGTAAGTGGGAACTCTTTCTTTTGAATTGGATGTACTCTGGTTACCGCATCACCCTGACAGCTGAGTTGACTTTTATGTGCTTCCGTAGTGAAGATAATAATACTGACATTCTGAATTTCCCCCTCTGTCAAGTGAGGAGTAGGGGCAAGTTCATCTTTGAGGAAGGCCTTTTATAACTCTATAATTTTGTTCTATTCCACTTTCTGGAACTGGTCTCAGAACAAAATGTGAGAGAAATTATACTGTACTGTGAACATACAAAATGACAGTGATATTGCATTTCTTTAAATGTTTTACATCCTTTTCTGTTTCCTCTGCTTTTAACTGTCTTGAGTAGTTTAAGCTTTCCTTATACAGAATGAACTCATGAAATTTTATTCAAAGCAAGTTCGAAAAGTCACATGACACCAAACAATTCTCATTTAAATATTTACTTTAGAATTCTGAATGACATGGCTCTTTCAGATGAAAAACAAGTACTAATAAAAAATGCTTTGAAACTTTTATTTAAATACCTAAGAATTATATTCTATGGCTCAGCTTTCAAAGTATGGGTGTTTATGAATCACCAGAGTTCCAAATAATTGAAAAAGTGGCCCAGGAGCATTAAAGGGAGAATAAATAAAAAGGAGCACAAAAAGAAACATATTTCAAATCTACTGATTGATCATCTTTCATTCTTTTAACAAACATTCCATTACTATCTTGTGTGTGTCAGAAACTATGGTAGGAGTTTGGGATCACAGTCCTCTACTTCCCAGGCTCCTGTGTATGTATGAAAGCAACACTGGATTTAGTGCCTTGGAGTTCAGTCTTGGCCTCTGCCACTAGCCTGATGATGGATGACCTTGGGCAAGTCACTTTCAGTTTTGGGGCTTCTTCTATAGAACAGTAATAGATAAGAGATTCGGCACTAATGCTGTTTGATTTTAAATTTATCTCTCTCAAATACAATGATAGCATATAACTAAAAGACAGTGTTTAGGTTAAAAAAAACACACAAAGTAAGTCATTCTAGAAATTCTAGAAGTCATATACATTTCTATTACAAAATTCATCTATATAATAAAAGCCTAAGCAACCATTACGGCGGAATGACTGGTTGCTATGATACGCACTGACCACCAGGGGGCATATCCTCAATGCACGAGCTGCCCCCCCTGGTGGTCAGTGCACTCCCACAGGGGGAGGCTGCTCAGCCAGAAGCTGGGCTCATGGCTGGTGAGCACAGCAGCACTACTGAGTGGTGGCAGTAAGTGCAGCAGGCCGGGATGAGCGCAAGTGGCGTGGCGCCTGGTCCCGATTTGGGCTCCTCCCTGGCCACCTGCCACTTGGTGCATTGATACATCCCCCGAGGGGTCCTGGACTGTGAGAAGGTGCAAGCTCGGCTGAGGATCCCCGCCCCCTGCCATGCATGAATTTTGTGCACCAGGCCTCTAGTTTGTTAATAAACAAAACACATACATTAAATTTTCACAAAAAATAATAATATTATAAATCTATTTATTGTTTTTTCTCATTCTTTATTTATTCAGGAAACATTTACATAATACCCACTCTGTCCCAGAAATTGTGTTGGGTGTTTGAGATCAGAGATGAAACGTTCTCTGCCTTAAGAAAAGCTCACAATTTAGAAATGGAGCTAGAGAAGGAAATATGAGTGCTATTCATAATCAACAAATATTTGCTGAGTGCCCATTATACTTGGGATACATCAGCGAACAAAACTGATAATGATCCTTTTTTATGGAGTTTATATTCAAGCATGAAGATCACATCATACAGAATAAACATGAAAATTATAAATGATGTGGTATAAGAAAAGGAGAAAAAAATCATGGTGTTAAAAAAGTAGAGCAGGTTAAAGGGTAATGGGGCACCTGTGGTGGGGGTTGGTTCAGTACATTGCAGTTTTAAGAAGTTTGCCAGGTGGGCCTCATTGGGAAGCTAACATTTATGTAAAGGCTTGAAGGGAGTAAGGGAATTAATTATCCATAGGAGGTATCTGGGGAAAGACATTAGGAGCAAAGAGAACTGTCAGTGAAAAATCCCTAAATTTGGAAACAAGGGTGCTGAAATGAAATGAGAATGGGGGGGAGTGAAAGGAGGTGACAGGAGAGTAGTAAGAGTCAGGGAGGGGCAGATCAGGTAGGGCCTTGTAGGACATTTTAATGTACACGTTTAGATAATTTAGCATCTTGGTATCCTCCCATAGTAATGTATTTTCTTGTCCAATCCTCATATTTACCTGGTGGCCGAACTAAATTCCCACTCTTTTCTGTAGTTTAAATGTTTCTTTTTCATTTTTATTTATTGATTTGAGAAACCTTGGAGTATTATTGGGATGATGCTCTAACCAACTGAGCTATGCAGTCAGGGCCTAAATCTGTTTTCCACCCTTCTACTCTCTTCTGAGTTGGAGAATGACTGGTAATGCCAGACAAATTGAGAAAACTGAAATACCACTTCCTGGTCAGGTCTGCACAGCAAACCAAATTGTAGAATGAAAGTCAGTTATTGAACAAAGCAGACCAAAACAAAATGAACAAACACACAAAACCAACTTTTTAAAAATCCAAATAATGGCCTTATTTCTCTATTTTTCTTTAACATTTTAGACTCAAACAGTCAGGGAATGAAGAGAAATATTTTGGTTACATAAAACACCTTCCAAAGGCTCCCTGAAATTTAAGAGTTCTCTTTATATGAGCTTTTGATGAGTAGATATATTTGCATGCTCAGGAGTAAGGAATGAAGTAGAATAACAAAATTAATTGATGCACATGGTGAATAAAGATAAGTGATTACTCCAAGGCAGTCAGAAAGGGAAAGAAGGATGCTTATCTTATTCATCCTTAAGAATTAAGTGCATTGTAGATATGATTTATAGATACCCGAGAGTTCATTTATATTTAGGGTAAAGATATCCTTTTTTAATGACTCTATGGTTCATTCTTATTTTCTGGAGATGTCAGTGGGAACTTACCTGTTACTCTGAGATAGAAACAAATGTGGGAATACAGAGCACAGAAAAGGTTTTCATGTTTACCACCTACAAAAGTCATTCTAATATTAAGAGATGGTATCTGTCAGATGGGTAGGAAGGAATATTGACATAATTGATTTCTGCTACTTTTGGCTCCCTGTGGGTAAAATGAAGAAAAGATGTGCAAGAATGAAGGCTGGTCATTTTTGTAATTGTCTTCAAGGCTGGTTTAGGGATTAGAATTCTAAAATAGGAAACAATAGTCATGGGATCCTCTCTTAGTATTACCAGTGATTTTTCAGACCATTTGACTTCTGAGTGATCACCTAGAAGGGAGATCTGAGAATTGCCTCTTGCTCCAATGGTGGTATGATTTGAGCATATACACTTTCCTGTCTTAAATGATAAATTAATTGAAACAGACTGTGCAGACTAGAATGATACCTCAGTGCCAATGAACATTATTAGCAATTTAGGCAAATTGAAAACATTTTATCATTGTAATATTTTTGACATAAAAATCTTTTGTGCCCACTAATATTACATACCATTTAATCATTTAGAATTAAGCTAAAGTCCCCAGAACCAGTACTTTAATGCACTAATATTACTTGCATCTTAGTAGAGAATGGTACCCTAAAGATTTTGTGCTTCTTATATGTTAGTTATGCATAAAAATGCAATGTTATATTTAGAAATAGTTAGACATAAACAGAGAGGCAGCAAAACCCACTTTAAATACACTTTTGCATGTTCACTACTGTATCAGAATGACTTCCATCAGTCTTCAACTTGCTTATACTCAGGCTCCCAGAAAAAAGTTTCATTTCATAACATAATTTAAGAAAAGCCACAATTCTGAATGCCGACATGGAAATGTTTCTATATAGCAGAAGAAATAACCTCAAATGCCTGGAAATCTCCATGGTCTGAGTAACTTTCCCTCATCCCCCTTCACCCGCTCCCCCCCCCCCCC